CAGGTTACTGGCGAAACGAGCAGATGGGAGAGAGACGGCTGCCTAAATCCCTCGAAGAGCAGCATGGGCTTCTGCATTACACGACTCTTTATTACTTCCCAGTGGGAAAGCATTCGAGCTAATTTTACGATCTAACTGGAAAATGACGAAGCCACCTCCAGCGTTTCCGTCCAGGAGCTTTGATCCATCAGTATAGACGAGGATATCGCTCTTAGGGATAGTGGTCAAGAAATCGGAGAAAATGTTCGCTCTTATTTGGCTTGGTCCTGATGGTGCACCAATACGCTTAAAAGCAATTTGCTTTTCTTCCTCTGCTTCCCACGGCGGGTTAAGGAGAGGGTCGAAATTCTTGGAATGGGGAATGTCCCTGCATGAGCGAGCGAGTCGAGTCAATGGGGGAAATGGCATTAGATTTCGCGCGCACGAGGATAGGGGTGGTAGGGATCTAGACTACGTATTCAGAGGGCAGCTTTCCTTGTTATATCGTCTAGTGCAATTTCTGCTGGAGAAATTCCCGCCTCCCTCAGGAGAGCGATGGTCAGAGTGGTTGAAAATACAGGAAGGACAGTCCTAGCAGCAGCGGCATGAACTTTATCAAGTGTACTGATATGGGAGCCAACCCTATTTGATGTTTGTTTTCCTCTTTTCATTTTTGTTTTTCAGGGCCACCAGGTCGCAGCGGCGAAGTGGGCAATAGGTATAACGCAAGTGATTATCACTTGTCTAGAGAGTCGGGGTGATATTCTTCGAGCTGTATTTCCAATGCAGCGAAGAGCGTGAGCTACTTTCAGGGCTTTAGCTGCCTGTATTTTTATATGTTGCTTGAAGGTGAGTCGCTTGTCAAAGTGAACACCCAGCCATTTGAGGAATGATTTTGCGGATTTTTCTGAGATAGAAGATTTGCTTATGTGAACATGAGGGCTTACGTCTTTATCCCTATGTGTCATGATACCTATGGTTCTCGCTTATGACCTGACCTATAAGTCACATGACGCACGATTATCTTACTTATTTATATAATTGATGCTAGCGCAGGAATGAAGTATAAGTATCTAAGTAGTTGCACTCTAGGATAGATTGTGCAACCTCTTGTTAATATATTCTTACCCGTACTTCGTTCTCTCGTACCTCCGATCTGCTTGTGACTCCGTTTCAACGAGACCTACCCGTGATACTATGCTTCCTGGAAAATTGAAGGATTTCTGATTTTCCAGTGTTAAAGATTATGCCTCCTTTATTGTTACATGTGAATGGACGAGAATCATGGACGCTGCACGCAAAGGCTGCCACAAAATAAACTATATTTGTTATGAAAAGAACACTACAGTGGGACAGAGCCAATTTAAGGTGTGCGTTAATGACTACCTTACATAAGCACTTACTAAGCGTCTAACATGGTGCAATAGCCAGACCCATTTGCCACATCACACATATATTCAAGGCTGGGCCCGTAAGTCAGCCCGGCCAAATAACACCGGGTAAAACCCGTAACACCCCATGCCAACGCGTCATTTAGGGTGGCACTTATTTTGCTCGAGTTTTCTTGCAGCGATACTGATATCTCAAGAACTGCAATGTCATCTGCATAGCCGAATGATTCTTGAAGTCTTTCAATTCTGAAAATCTGTGTAATATAAAGCATAAAGAGTATTGGTGATGCTGGTGATCCTTGTGGTACTCCGCAGGAAATCGGTCTGAAAGATTGTTGAGTTTCGAAGATTTGTACAGCACGTGATTATCATCATGTGTCACCGAATAATTACTGGCTTACTAGCTATTATACCAGTAGAACACCACGTCGGGTAGTTTATGTAGACTGAGCTGGCCAACACGAGACCTTAAGGTTGTTTGTTTTGTTTATTTTGTCCTAAGCTAAAGCTTTGTTTTCCACATTGGGTCAAGGACAGGCGGAGCCGGCAGGGTTCCCTGTGATCTTTCCTACAGCCTAACTCGTTCCAACCTCGTGAATCGCTACCAAAAGTGCAGCTGATTAAACTGAAACGAAAAATCAAGAAAATCAAAACAACTCCGAAAAAAAAACCAGAAGATTCCTCCATGATGGACCCAGTCAATGTGCTCCTCACACATTCCCTCGTCCGTCACGCCTTCCAAATGACAAATTTACTTAATCTCCGCTGAGAGCAGTAGATGAGTTAGCAGGCACCTTTGATCCAGCCGGTATCCTGCTAATTGTTAGTAGATGCCCCAGAAGGGGACATCGTCGAGGTTGCTGTGTCCTCAAACTTCTTCTTCAGGTCCCAGCACTCCGAAACCTGTTGCCTCAGCAATTGCGGTATCCTTCGCCGCGGCGACGATCGCCTCTTCGGCCTTTTTGGCTGCAGCCCTAGCTCGAGCCGCCTCCGCGAACTTCCCTTGCTCGAGGTGGCGTATCCATGCGAGCTGCTCTTTTGTCACCGGCCCAGACTTTCTGGGTTTGACTTTGCAGTCCCGAGAATCCGATCGGTGGGGTCCCCCACAGTTGCGACACTTGGTGAGGGCCTTGCACTCGGCTTCCGAGTGCATGTTGGAGCCGCAGTTCCAGCAGGCTGGAGCGCGGGAGCAACCACAAGTGGCGTGGAAGCCCAAACAGCGTTTACACTGTTCAATTTGGCGACGAGGCTTGTGAATGGTTGCCATACCAGACTCGTCGAAGATGCGGAAGCCCGCACGAGGGGCGTTGTCCCGCGTGAAAAGGGCATGCCAGTTTTGATACGGTGCCCCAGGTCGACATGTCCCATGAGGTCGGACCTGGATTGGTATCGCGCCGGTCGTACCGAGAATCTTGGCAGAGACCCAGCTAGCATCGACCGCCCTGGTGCCGCACACCATAACTATACTTACAGGTACGTTCGGTATCTGTAAGGTGACAAGATCCGAAGATGCCTCGAGTTTGACGTTATGACTCGCCAGCTTCGAAGAGCCATCTAAAGTCTCTTGTCGTGTTTTTTCGTTCTTTGCTAGCATAGCAAAGCCCGTTCTCACTCGGTGGAGTGAGGTTATTTCTTGGTTAAAGTAGCTGAATGTATACTCTAACTTAGTTCTCACGCTGCTTGTGGACAATTTTCGCCACGGGTGGTCCTTTTCAAGGCGAAGGAACAGTCGCTTATCGACTTTCGCCTTGGGGTTTTCTTTTTGTTGGGCTTTGGCCGCAGGTCGCGGCACAGCCTTCACAGTTGGGCCTGCTTTTTGTTGCAGTCCGTTTCTGGCCACCGTGGCCCAGGTGCTTTTGACAGGCAGAGCTGGGACGGTGGGTATTGTTTGTCTCCTGGCGTCGGGAGCCCTTGGGAGATGGTTCGTCGGGCGAGGAGGGAGGACGGGTGGCGTAGTGGCCGGGCCCGTGGCCATGTATTGCGCAATGGCGGCGCGTAGGTAGACTCTCATGGAGTCTACGAATTGTCTATTTGACTCGTTGGTCAAAGGGAGGAGGGTGGCTTCGACGCCAGAGATGGCGGCGGAGCAGAGGGCCAGATTTGCCGCTATTTCGGCGGCGCGTCGTTTTTCGGCTTCGACAATTAGTCGAAGTTCGAGGGGACACTCTGCTTTCGTGGCAGCTTTTGGCTGCGACGTTGATGTTGACGCTGCTATGGGTGCAGCGTTTTCCGACGGTTTTGAGGTGGTCGGAGGTGGTTTGGATGATTCTCCAATCCCGTGGGGGACGGAGGGTGGTTGAGGAATTTCCCCAACAGTTTCAACTGACCCGATCATGTCAGTATCGGGTTCAGCGACGGCAGGGAGGGCTTTTTCCTTCCCTTTGATGGAGACCTTGCTCATCTCCGCGCATTTCGGAGACTGGGCAAGGCCAGGTAATTGTTCGAGAGCCCTCGGGTGGACTCTCGTGTTGTCCAACTTGGCGTTGGGACGCTTTTTTCGAACAGGTGGCATGATGAAAATGCCAGTGACTCGATAACAATTTTTTGATAGAATGCGACGAGCGCGTGAGGGAGGGAGACGGGAAAAAGGTGAAGATTCGAAAATTCGAATTTCCAAAAATTTTGTGTGTTGTGAGCTAGCACGACGTTAAATAATTATAAAAAAAAAATATACCAGTAGAACAAAAAAAGAAAAATGAAAGCTAGATCTCTTCATTAAAACTTTTTTAGGGCTCAAAGCATAATTGCTGCGAAAATCAGAAGTGGCAAAATTGAGTACAAATCCTGTTTAAATGCAAGGAAAGCCCTTCCAGGGTTGATTGTCCAAGATGCCAGTATCGATATTTGACACAAGACGTGAAGCACATGATAATTAATTGCTTAGAGTTGGTAAAAAGAAGGATGTAGGCTTTAATAAAAGCCAAGAACAAATTATGAGACCATTATCAGAAGCCATGAGGATGTAGCTCGAATCACGCAGTGTATACAGAACGAAGGATGGCTGGTACGGTTTAGACTACCTTGAGGGGCTCAGGTTATATCAAATACGGACAGAATGAGGGTGAAGGACTGAGAAAGATATGATAGATTCCACATTGGTAATGATGGTGATATTTGACTTTCTAAAGTCTGAATCTGGCAGAAATTTGTTTCTAAGTTGGACAGGTAAGGGGGCTTTGACTGCTATAGTCTTCTATATGAAAATCAGGGATTATGGATTCCTATATGAAATCAAAGAGAATTTCATTAAGCTAATAAAACCAAGTCAACCAATAGTCTGTTTCAATCCTCTCTATTGCAAGTTTCACAAGCTTGGAATTTTTGAGAAGGCGTTGGGAAGTTGGTGAAACCTCCTTAATAAATCTATTATACTGTTTTAACGTAATCCAACTATGAAACCTCTTTATTTGATCTAGAAAGGTCTTGCATTGTCCACCTTTCTTCTATGAATCTTTAATTATAATTTCTTCAGGAGAAATGATGAGCTTCTACTCGCCAGCATAGTCGACGTACATCAGCGTAATACTTTAATGATCGGGTGACTTGAAATTTGAAAATTGAGATTGATAGTTGAGGTTTAGCTTTTAATGAAATTTGTCTAATAATTATTCGATTTGAGGTAAAGATAAGATGGTTGCTACAGGAGAACAGATTCTTCCGGGCAATGAGACTAAAGCCTTACTACAACATGAATCTAGTGTCTCTCATCCTAAACTCGACTTGGATCATGATACCTTACAAGAATTAAATAAAGCAAATAAATCTTCCTCGTTAGATGAGTCACTTGAAATAATTAAGCCTGATATACAGCATGATCAAGGAAATAGCTTGTTTTGTGTCCAAAGTTTTGATCGTAATATCTTACAAGCTGGGGGAAAACAATCAAATGAGCAGGCTTCTGGATGTGAGAACAATCTTTCGTCTATAAAATTATTACAACGGCAAGCATCACCAGAAATGGAGCTTGATTTTAAGTTTGGGGCTGCACCAAAAATTAAAGAGTCTAACTTTAATTTCAAATTTATGGGAGCTGAGAAGATTGTGGTGCCAAAAATAACTCTCAATGGCAACTATAATTCTGAAGGCAGGTAGCTCGGCTCATAAACTACAGTCACATCTTGACGCTATTTTCTAGATAGCACAAGAGTTGGAAGGTCTACCAATTCATCATTGGATTCGACTTTTAATACAGCATCAAATGGAACTAAAATTAAGTCGGATTACACCGATAAAGATTATGATAAAGAAAATCTGAAAGATTCTCCACGATATGAAAACCCAAAGACATCTATGAAAGAATTTATTTACAATGAGCAAGCTACAGGCTCTAAATCGCTCAGAAGTAATAACTGTGACTCGCACAAACTGCCTGAGCAGCTACAAAAGATTAAGAGAGGCAGTCAGACAGTACCAAGTACAGAACCCTGGTATAAAGTACATCAGAGCAAGAACCCGGAAAATTGCATATCAATTGGACCTAGAAATACCACTACTGAATCAAATAGACCAGTGAGTTGTGCAGATCACAAAATTTGTATCTGTTTACCGGATAAAAAGATTGATTGTTAATCAAATAAAAGCCCTACTATTACAGTGGTAAATCAGTTCAGAAATTACCCTGCAAGTAAATTCTCCCATAATTATATTAAACTATTTATGCTGAAATATATAATCAGAAAACCTAGGATCAAAAAATCTTTTCTAGATCTATTAAAGTCTAAAAATGTTTCTGAAAATAATAGAACAAAGTCGAGAAAAATAGGAACAGATGACAGTTCTAGCTCAATTAAAAGTAGTAATATTTTAAGAGCATTAGAAGCTGATTTATTACTAGTTAGTAATTCTACTGAAGAGAGCTCAAAGAATCCGAATAAAATTTCAGATGGTATGTCGAATTTTGAAAATTTCTAGTAATTATTTAGTGATGTTCTCTTTTGATATGTCAACAAAGCCTTGAAAGTTTATTATTAGCTGGAAACGATTGTACAGACACTGGCATGTGAACTATATGAGTTGAAATCACCCAAGTAGCCTTGCAAGAAGACTTACATTGACTTTACCACTACAGATGTTGCAGGGTTACAAAAAATATATTTCATGACATAGACCTTATATTTATACGTTCAGAAAAACCGGTAACTAACCACTTCAACTTTACAGATGACTCCAGACATCTTGAACAATCGATCAATTCTGTATCACAATTGAGCAAAATTAATAGTATGTATGCCGAGAAAAGTTCTACTCAAATTGTAAAAAATTTAGAAAACCAAGATCAGAGAAATAATTTTTCCGAAAAAAAAGTTCAAAATTTGGCAAATATTTCTTCACAAACGCCCTTATGGACATCTAAACATCACAGAACCGAGAACAATAGTCTTTCATCGTCGCTTTCCTCTGAGGTTCTCGAATCACGGACATCTGATAGGAAGTTGTTAGAAAACTCCCCTAAGAAAAATTTAATGTATGACCAAAGAACACTGCAAAGTATGATTGAGACTCATAGAAATAAACAATCCAAATTTAGAAAGCAGCTAACCAAGAAAAGTTGCTAAATCATGCCATATTTTTGTAGATATAGCGAAGGAGTGTGAGCTTAAATCAGCTAAAATTCAGGCACAGAAGTACCAAATAAATGAGCTTGAAAATTTTGGTAAAATCTGGAGCGAGAGGAATAAAAAATTAGAAATTGAAACTTTCGAATTAAAACACAAAATTCAACAATATGTCTCTATCCATCAAAGTTGTAAAAATCAAGTTACTGAGTTAAAAATATCTCATGAGAGTATAAAACAACAATGGAAATCGTATTTGATAAATTTAGAGCCGACTCAAATAACTTTTAGACTCTTAAAATGTGAAATTGCAAAGATTAAAGACTATTTACGAACTGAGAGCGAAAATTTTACAAAATTTCGAGAAAACTTAAAAACAGGTATACCTGCTCTTTTTGACGTCCGCTCCTATCATTAACTATAACCAGTGACTAAAGATATTGGTGAAGCTAATGAAAAACTTGCTAAAGAAAATGAAATATATTCAGCTAAAATTCAATGCTTACAACTAGAAAATAGGAAATCGATAGATCATGTTACTGAACTAGATTTCACGAATAAAAGACTAGAGTTTAAAGCTAGAAAGCTTGAGATACAAAATTCTGTGCTTGAAATACACAAGACTAACGCAAGTCAACAGCTACGAAAACAGAACTTGGAACTACAGGAATTATTATTTGAGAAAAAAGCACTAGAGGAGCAAATACGCAGCAGTAAGAAAACCAAAAAATTTCTGGGCTAAACTTGTAACTTAAACTGACCTACTATTTTAGCAGTAATATTCCAAAAATATGAAATTACTTCAATGTCGGATAGCTTAAATAGGGAGAAAATTAGAACATCAAATCTCGAAAAAGACTTAGAAAGATATCGGACTTACCAACTTGAGGTTTTGAATAGTATACAGGAAATGCCTGCGGTAATTCTATCTGGACTCATGGGCGAAGATAGCTTGCTATCTAAAATGATAGACCAAGAGAATAAATCTCAGGAAAAGTAAGTGGTCATTTTTTAGGAACCTACGCTAAAGTAGAAAAGGATCAATCAGGCTATAAGTAGTCTTGAAATTATCGCAAGAGATACACCGATTTCTATGAAAATGACTATGGAGAATATATCTGCAAAGTAAGTAAGAGTAGAATTTCCTTCGAGCCTTTCTAAAGTTCGTATTTTTAGGTTTGAGTGCATGCTCAGCGGCTCAGAAAGTAACAGCTCTAAGATAAGGGAGTCAATAATTGAGCTTATAAAAGATGCGAATCAAAGCTTTGTTGACCAAGGGACACAAAATCACCTAAATAATGCCGTTTCTTCTCTTAGTAAGTTTAATGAGGACTTGTTGAATCAAAATAAGGCCCTATATGATGAGAAAATGCATGTGGCATCGGAATTTCACAAGTCAATCTCAATTTTCTCGACTTTTGAAGAAAATTTAAAAAATAAGATTGATGAATTTAATGAAGCCATTGCCTCGCAAAAAGAAGTTTCTTTGCTTAAGTCTCAAATTGCTGAAATTGAAAATAAAAATATTGACCTGAATGATAAGCTAAAATCAAAAAACGAAGAATTTTTGAACCTTAAAAATGACTTGATATCAGAAAATGAATCAAAGGAACAAAAAATTCAGGAGCTCGAAGTAACAATCCGTCATAACGAAATAAAATTGAAAAATTTTGATGATGAGAAAATCAAACTTTTGGCAGAAAAAGATGAGAAAAATAAAATAGTATGCCGAGAGCTCACTGAAAATGCAAATTCATCTAAAGAAATAGTAAAATTGAAACAAGAATTTGACGTAGAAAGTCTTCAGCAAAAAATTAAGAACAAAGATTTCGATCTAGGGTCTAGACTTGGTGAGGATTCAAATTGTAGAAAAAATTACGTGGAGGCAGAGCAAAAGATCTTGGGACTACAGGATGAACTCCATTTAAAAAATGAAACGTCCAAAAAGCTCGAGTTAGAAGTAGCTAGTTATAAAGAATATTATTCAAAACAGGCTGCACAAATACAGGCTCTTAAGGAGCACTCTCTTGGGATAGAGTTACGAAGTAATTTAAAAATCGAGCTTCTCTCAGCTCTAAGCGAGATCTCAGAGCTTAGGGATATATTTCAAAGCGTTAGAATGGATAACGCACAGCTTATTGAAGAGTCTTCGAATAACCAAAAGACTATTGAAAAATGCTTGCAAGATTATGAAACACAATCTAAAGAACTTGGGACTAAAGATTTGCGGCAAAAATTCTTATCAAGCAATCTATATTTATCGAAGGAAAATCCTGCTCTTACAGAGGTGCTAGGTTATCATAAGCCCAAAGAAGATATGTATTCACAAAGTAAAGAAAATTCACATATCATTGGGCTAGTTACAGAAACAGATGAAGGTAGTATCGATAAGAAAGTTCAAGAATCAACCATGGAATTTGAGTTTAAGCCTGATGATGATCTTTTTAGCGAGAAATTAATAACACAACAAAAAAACACAGAATTTATTAGCCAGGTTTCAAAAAAATTGAAAGCTAATACTAACTTAATGATGTCGACAAGCAATTACTCACAATGTTGTACAAATGATTTTCCTCAATTACTAGATGAGAGTGAGGTGGAAAATAATACGTCAATCGGCAAAGAACATCCAGTACACTCCAATATTATCTCTGATTCATTCTCTCTAGGTGATATTGATACAGCAATAGAAAGTGCTCCTTTTTCGTTAAGTCAGGATAATGAGATAACAGCTATGTTAATAAATATTGCTGGTGATCCAGCTCCTATCCAAAGATCTGAGGGAGAAAAGACTAGATGTGGATCTAAACGTATCAAAAACCCACTGACTTACAAGCAAGTTACAGCTGATTTCTCACCATCCACTAATGTAGGATACGATGAACTCGATGAACCTTCCTCCAAGAAACAGAAGTCGGGATCTCGGATAGTAGCTTCAAGCACAAGAAAAGTGAAAAAGCAATCAGATCTATCAAGACCCAAAAGAAGCTCTCTAAGATGTAAGATTGAGCAAATAAATCACCCTAAATTGTGTCTCGAAAACCAAAAAATAAATTCCAAGTGTGACAATCAGTCTTATACCCAATCTATAAAATCAGAAAACTGCAAATCAGTGCCAGCCGAAAGTAATGTTAAGCAAAGACGCCAGGATCCAATTTTTTTAAAGGAGACCACAGTGGCTAAATTTGGAGCTGAAAGAAATACCAGAGGACGCAACAAATCAAAGCTGGATATCACGTACCCACAGCCTAAAGAAAATAGAGCTCTTAAATGAAGCTATTTTTTTAATAACGGGCATACTTAAAAGCTCTTAGTTACGATATCTCCAATAGATACAAACTTCAAGTATAGAGGGAATAGGAAAAAATTGTAGTGGTGCATTTATTGTTGCTAAGTACACATTTACTATAGAAATCCTCCTAAATATTGATACAGTCTCACATTGTCCATTTGATTTAGTCAACCTATTACGCACGTTGCTTATTTATTATTTCATAGCTAGCCTCATTTTCTGTTCGATTAAATATGTGGGAATAGAGCTATCAAAAGTCACGCATTATTATGAATTCCTGCACTAGGCCATAGCATGTGACTCCCAATCAGTTGATAGAAACACCAAAACCTAGCTGTCAGAATAACGACAAATTCACCACTTAACGACTACTTTACTAGTACTTCAGGAAGTGAGGGTACCCAAAGTAAGATTAACAAAATACAAATTTAAATTTATGCCTCATTATATTGATATGACAAGGGTCTTACACTAAAATTGTATGATTTCATTAAAATTTATGAAGTATTCTTGTAAGTTATTCGAACTATCGTTCAGAATCAATGGCTATTCATCACAGGTAAAAAAACCAATGATCTTTAAAGTAACAAAAGAGGATAGGAGCACTGTAAAAAGTGTGGCCTGGCTTATAGGGGCGCTCAATGTGTTAAATAATCAGACTAAAGTAGTGCAATAAACAAAACTGACACATTTTTTGAACTTCAAATTTATGAATCTTCCCTTTTTACCCCTATCCCCCCACTCGCGCTCGTCGTTTTCAGTCAGAAAATTTTGATAGAGCCGCTGGCATTTTTATCATGCCAATTTCTTCGAAAAAAAGTGTTGGAAATTCAGACTCTATGTGTCTGAAGTTTCCCCATGATTGGAACAACTAAGAATCTCACACATGACTCATGACCTAGATAATTGATATCTCCCTTACTGAGCATGTTTGATGCTTGAGACTCGACTAGTGCATGGTATGGTCTGAAACACGTGTAGGCTTTCATCCACCGACCCTGACACCATACTCATGCTGTATACTGTCGTGCGATTCATTGTCATTGTTAGAGTATGGAACGAGTGATGGATGGTATCTAGTTTGGATTTGGTCTATCAAGTATACATGTATATAAGCTGTCTAGGAATCACCAAGACAGATAATCTAATCAATTCAATTCATTCAACCCATCTTTTATTTCTCCACAGTATATCACATATTCTCCCGATTCATATCATTATTATTCTATTTATAAAATCGCGCCCATATTCTTTGAGCCGCCTTACTCATCGAGCCCATACCGATTTTTCAAAAAAAATGCTTCCAATTGCTATGTTGGATAGCTCGAGTGTCAACCAGAGGACTCTCGCAAAAATGGCAGGCCTTGCTCAGTCTTCAAAATGTGTGGAAATGGGCCAGGCCATTCCGAAAGAGAAGAAAAAAGCTCTTTCCATAGTCAACGGACCCGATACATACATTTCATGTATAAACGTAGTGAATACTACAGTTCTGGAGGTATCTGGAATGAAAGAAGTGAACATTGACTGTCGAGTCAATACTGCATGAACTGTAAGATATTAGGGAATTTAGGATTAGAGATAAAGGTTAGGGTCAGTAAGAATTTTTGGCTTTAATGAACTTTTATTAGCTAGAAGTGTTAGGTTTTAATCTACATCTGTAATCTATGTTCTACCTCGCTTAGATAGAAACATTGTATTATAATCTGCCAAGAGATCCCAGAACTGTGCAGATTTATGCATGCCAATATTTTATGCAAGTCCAAGGACATAGATATGAGGGCAACCCATAACTGGGGCATCATAGATTTGTAATGGAATGGTATAGGATCGAATAGTGCAGAATGGAATGGAATGTACTGGATAGAGTAGGAACTGTGATATGGATTATAGGACATGTATATTATGAAATGTATCTCCTGGCAGTAGGAGGGAGAATGAGTCATCTGAATACAAGTGTTCTTCACTTAACACAAGTCTTTTCGATATCTACGTTGGTGTTCTACGATCACATATAGCATCCTCTCGAGGTAGAGATTCAACCCGTATGTGCTCATAATCTTGACACATTGTGTTCTGATTACGTGATGGAATAACATTCCCACTACAGTCAAACCCCTGTTAATACGATGTTTTTTTTTTTTTAACTTTTGGTCCTAAGCTAAGGCTATCTTTTCCACATTGGGTCAAGGACCGGTGGAGCCGGCAAGGATCACTACATACAGGCCCAACTCATTCCAACCTCATGAACTTCTACTGAAACTGTAGAAGTTAACAGCAAAACTAAAATAAAAAACATAAATTAAAAACTGAAATCAAATTTGGAAGAAATTCTGTTTGGTCCGGATCCCGCGCTTCTCGCCCGTTCCCTTTCCTGCCACATCTTCCACGTGACTATTTCTTATCTCCGCTGAGAGCGAAAGATTAGTTCGCAGATAACCTGAATTCAGCTGGTATCCTGCTATATATTTTAAAGCTTTCTGTAGACTTCACCGAGGGTTACTGTACCCTCAAACTTCTTCTTCGGATTCCAGGATTCCGAAACCCGATCCTTCGGCCATCGAGACATCCTTCGTTGAGGCCATTGTTGCCTCTTCGGCCCTTTTGGCTGCAGCCCTAAATCGAGCCTCTTTCGCGAACTCCCCTTGCTGGATCTGGCGGATCCTCGCGACCTGCTCTTTTGTCACCAGTCCGGACTTGTTGGGCCTGGCTAAGCAGATCCGGGAATCCGATAGATGAGGTCCCCCATAGTTTCGACACCGGGTGAGGGCCTTGCACTCTGATTCTGAATGCATATTAGATCCGCATTTCCAGCAAGCTGGAGCGCGGGAACAACCACGGGTGGCGTGAAATTCAAGACACCGTTTGCATTGTTCGATTTTGCGACGAGGTCGGAAGAGCTTTGCAGCTCCAGAGTCGTCGAAAAGGCGGAATCCGGGTCGAGGAGCGGATTCTCGGGGCAAGAGCGCTTGCCAATTTGAATAGAGCGCCCCTGGTTTGCTAGTCCAATGAGGACGAACCAGAAAGGGAACCAACTGGGTCACTCGCGTGACTTCGTCGGCAACCATCTTTGCTGTCACGGCGATGGGGCCAGCAAGTGTTCGAATTGTCTCCGAAACGGTGGCAATTTGCATGGCAACCAGATTTGATGCTGGTTCCAGGTGTATTTCTGGATCTCTCCGCAGTGCGGAGGAATCCAAGAGCTCCTTTCGAGAAGCTTCGTTCTTTGCTGTAATAGCAAAGCCATTCTTTACCCGCTGAACCAACGTAATATCATTAGCAGCGGTTCCAAGCGCGAGAGACACAGCTGATCTAATGCTAGCTGGGGAGAGGAGACGGTGAGGGGTGGAAGTAGTCGAGGCGTAGAAAAAGGCGTGAATCGGCTTTTGTCCTCTGGTTGGCATTCTTTGCTTTGGGGGCGGGCGGTGCTGCCTTTATTGTCGACTGCCCAGCGCTGCGGGCTAGGCCTCCCCGAGCTACGGTAGCCCAAGTTGTCCTCGGAGCCGGAGCCTGGGTTGTTGGAGGGTTAGGAACCCGTTGTTCCACAATCTTAGAGCGACGGCTACTGTAGATTTTATTTGGGGCGAATTAACAAATATATTATATTATGTATATATATCGCCACTACATCTATCCACTGACACTTCTCCCAAAGGAACTCGCCAGAATAGTTTTCCATCTCAGCTCTGACCACCTTTCCTTCTATGACTAATTCATGACTAACCCAAAGCTCCTTCCTGATCAGTTTCAGGGCTAAGTTTACTCCAAGCAGATTAGGGTACTGTATGCGAGAGTATTCCTACAGAACCCTTATTTCTGGTGCCCTCGGCGGAAGAGGGTCGGCGGGGCGAGCTGGGAGAGCTGGTGGTGTGCTCCCTGGGCCAGACTGTACGAACTGGCCGATGGCAGCTCGAAGATAGACTTTGATTCCGTCTACAAATTCTTTATTATCGCCAATCGAAAGAGGCGAAAGTGCTGCTTCGACACTGCTGATTTCAGTCGAGCAGATTGCGAGTCGGCCGTTTATTTGCGTCGTGTGACGCTTTTCGGCCTCCATCACTGATTGCAGCTCTGGTGGAAATTCCATTTCTGATGTCGATGCTGCGCCTTTAGAGGCTGGCACAGCATTGTTTCCTGCAGATGATTCTGCACGTTCGGTTGTCTTTTCTCGAACAACTTCCTTTCCTTTCCTGGAGCTGCTTGCCACTGGGGCCAGCTCGACGGGGGTTTTGGTCTTGGGCCCATTGTTTTCTGCTCTGATCGGGAAGATTTGTGGACTTCCCTGGGACAACGGCCTCACTCGCAAACAGGCTTGATAGTTTTTACGCAAGGCCAGTAGGTTTTGGACACAATGGTGTCCGTTCAAAGCCGGCTGAAGTTGTCGGCTTTGGGCGATTTTCTCTCACCGGAGGCATTTTAAATACCTCGCGACGGTTAACTATTCGAGAAGTCAAGCACAGAAGTGATCATAGGAATGCAAAATGGGAAAAATGGAATTTTCGAATTTCTCGAGTTGTGCGTTTTTTGTTCATTAACGTGCTAGGTGAAGTAACTACCGTCGCACTCCTACTGCAGCTTGAGCACGAGTGGGGTCGGGCCGGATGAGGTTAACTACCGTGCAGTACAAATGCCTCCTCCCACCTAAATGACCGGAACCATGCCAAAATGCATCTATGTGTTGAACCATGGCGAATTCAGCAGCCCAGAATTGAAAACAAACCAAAAACTTTCCCGCGAAATCCCGCATTACAAAAGAAAAACTTAAACAATCTCCCTTCTGTGACGGAAACCGAGTTGGTAATGAATAAATCGATTTATTAAACTATATGAAGAGAAAATAAATCTCTAGCTACTACTAACAGGTACTTATAACGTTTGGTCCGCTTCGTGAATCTGCTGACTGATAACTTCTCCCTAGACCTAATACTTGCTACTGAGCCAATTATTATCAGGAGCCATTACGTTATGATGTTGCTTCGACCTCC